GATTGAACATACTGTTTATTGTAATGCAAGCACAAACTTATATAGACTAAGAAAGGAGGAAGGCAGAAGGTAGTCTCCTGACAGTCCTCCCACACAACAATGGCACTGTGATTGGCTAGAAGTCATGCCTATTTCTCTGGACTCTCCAATCTCATAACAGGTCACATACCGCATGCATGGCTGGCAGACATATGCCACAGGTCAAGTTCACCATGTGTGGCTGTAGGTCAGCTGAATGTTACGCACACCACGTGTGGCTCTTAGGCAACATGGGAACACAGCTACTTCTCAGATATGCTTGTCAGGGAAATCCCAGCATAGCTCATCCAAGGACAGAGAAGACAGACTGGAGTGCAATCTACCGCTCTCACCTGTATAGCCAATGAACAGACTAGGATGAGGTCTTTGTTAGTCAAAACAATAGTTGGGGATTCCTCCAGGGACACGTTGCGCTGTGTGCCTATGACCTCCCAATAGGTCAAGCAATCAGAGATCTAGTGGAAATCTCCCACACCATGTCAAGTGCTACACCAAATGGCCATCTCAGTTCTATACTTCAGATAGCAGAGATTAGGAAAAATTACTTTATGATTAATTGGGAATACATTAATTAGAAAGTGGTGATCCCCATTTCAGAACATGGCATTGAGGTCAGCAGCCAGCCTCAGAGCCTCCTCATAACACAGCAGGGCCTCCATCAGCTCTCCTCTCAATTTGTGAATGAGCCCAAGGAGGCTTTTGGCTTCCACAACTCGTACCTCTTGCCTATCCCATCTTTCTGCCACTTTCTGTAAAGCCTTGAGGAGTTTTTCCCTGGCATAGGACATCTTTTCTATTCTTAAGCCTGTTAAATACTGAGTGATTGCTTTGTCTTCAGATTTCCTATGATACTGTTGAAATTGGCCATAGTGGTAATGAATGTCTTGCAGGATGTGATCCTCGATGTTTCTGATGCTTAGTGCTATCTGAAAAAGTTCCTCAGCCTCTCCGTACTGGCCTATTTCTGCATACATTTCAGCGAGGTCAACATAAGCCATTTCAAACGTGGGCTTTAGTGTTGTAGCCGTTTGAAATTTGTCTATAGCTAATTGAATCAATCTGTCCACATCTCTTCTGCTCTGGACTTGAGGCTGCCAGTTGGTAGACTTCTTTATTTGGATCATTTGATCCCTATAACAAAGTCCCATCTGGTGATGAAGAGAGGCAGAGTTGGGTGTTGCGTTCAAGGCCTCTTCTAAATACCTCAGAGCTTCATTTGGACGACGCTGTCTGCGGTAAAACTTGGCTGCATACCGGAACACGTAGGTCTGTGAGGACCCCTGGCTCAGAGCTTCTTTAAGGTGCTTTCTCCTTCTGCTGCCTCTCCCATATCCTGCAGCTTCAGAGCAAGGAGAGCTTTCAGGTACCCATCTTGTGGGTTGAGGCTGATGGCCTTTCTGAGGGGAGGAAGGGAGAAGGCCTCACTGATATTGTTTAGTTCTTTGGCTGCGTGATCCAGGCGGTAGGCGGCAATTGCATAGCCTTTGTTGAATTCAGGGTTTTCAGGGTCCACTTCCAGAGCCCTTTGAAAGCAGGCCTTGGCCCATTCATAATTTTTTCTTCCACACTTCAGCAAGGCCCATCCTTCCACACAGTCCATCTCAGGACACTCCACTCTATAGCGGGAAGAATCTTCAAACCTGTTGCAAATCTCCTGCACCTTGTCCAGGTACTTCTGTGTGTCTTCCCATCTGCGCATGTGGTAATAGACCCAGGCATAGTTGCCCCAGGTCACCAGGCATCTCACATCTGATTGGTCAATGTGCTCTCTCTTGAGTGACTCTCTAGCGTTGTTCAAACTATCCAGGGCATCGTCATTCCTGCCCTGTAGATGTTGCATGTAGCCCAGTAGGTTGTGTAGTCCCTCACTGTATTCGGGTTGCAATTGAACCTCTTCTGAGATGCTGCTTTCTAACTCACGTATTTCAGCATCATCAATGAACAGCTGCCATGTGAAGTGACATCTCAGCTGCTCCAGGGCATCTTTGATCAGATGATCATCAGCATTCCTACTGCAAGAACAAGAGTGCAATGTGTGTGTTTGGGGAGGAAGATAGCCCAAAGGAAACTGGTTGATAAAGCACCATACAAAATTTTAGTTCTTATCCTGGGAAAGGGCATAATTGTACAGAATTATTGTTTTGAGTGTAGGTATTTTTCAGATATGCTTGTGCTGTGAATAGATCTTGCTCTTCTCTGTTTGCTGGCTGCCGTATACAACAAAGCTGATTGCATTCAGTTTGAGAGTTATAAAGCATATTTATGCAAAGCATTAATAGAATCTAATATTCTAAATGAGTTTCCTATCATGTGGTGGACAGAATTAGGGTACACTCCAGCCACACATGCTAAACCTTAGGAAACATAATAATATCTTAGTCTGAATATAAGAATTCTGAAAAGAGATGCTTTACTAAAATATGTTTTTTCCATTCTTAGAAATAAGCATAATAGGAAATAAGTAAAATAGGAAAAAATGAGAGACAATGCAGAGATTTATTCTTTCCTTCACTCTGTTTTCTCGTGAAGGTTATAACTTACACACCTATCCTCCAATGTCAGCATAGGAAATTGACATTAGTAGAGCAATGTGTCTTTGTGATTCCATGTTTTTTCCCATACAAATTAACTGATTGAGTTCCTACTTCAATTGATACACAAACTACCTCATCACCACATCTCCTTTTTACCGTTTTATAGTTAACCCATATGATTTCCTCCCCTTCCACTCCCATTGTCATCTAGTGCTTAGAAATTACTGATATATTCTTCATCTGTGTCATTTTATCATTTCATGATTTTCATGTGAATGGAAAATTCATCCAAAAGCATTGGTCCTATGTCTGAAAAATCCATGTAATACGTCAGACTCACAGAAGGTAAGGAAAACCACCATGATCACATGTGCCCATATGGTCAAGTGTTTGACAGAATGTAACATCCTTTCATGATTTGGGGAAAAGGTTTCATCAAATTATGGTAACTAAAGGTGGGGGACTGGTAGATATTGTTTGTTTGGATTAGGCTGGTTGGTAGAAGCTCATGAGCCAAGCATGATGGCTTTCTATGGAGAAACCACATGGAGATAAGCTTAAGGTTTTGTGTTTCTCTGCTTCCTGGTTGGTCAAGTGACTGCTCTTCCTCCTTCTCCTCTGGAATCTGACTTTGCTGGCAGAGTTCCCAGAACCTACTGCATTCTGACGCAAGCTAGTCCCCATATGGCTCTGACTAGTGGCAGACCTTGACCTTGTCTCTGTGATGCTGGTTTTGGCAGCATTAAGAATGTGGGTTGCAGTGTCATGGCAGCCGGTGTTGAGATTTCAGCAAATTGATGTTGCAGGTTTGGAACTGTTATAGCACATTGTGGAATCAGGAGGCTTTAAACCTCACTAAGTGCCAGGGCTATGCAGCCTGGTGATGATACAAGCAAGTCATTTCTGTGCTGTCAGGGCAGAGATCTGCCTTGGATGTGAGGATCATCTAGATGCCCTGTCTGTGGGCCCTCATCCCATAGGAAAAGTGTCTGGGTTTTATCAGTCTCATAGTGGCAGGCCTATCTCAAAATTTCAAAGTTCTAGGCTGACTTTCCTGCCTGACTCCCGTGTGGTTGAAATCTTGTTCCACTGTGCACTGGCTGAGACATGAGACTACTGGTGATTGCCATCCCTTGGCACCTTGACTAAGGAGGGTTGAAAGTCTCAGTTGTCATATATTGATCTGTGGGGTGGGCCTGAGATGGTCCTGTGAGCCCTGCGTTGTACACTCGCAGGTCTGTTGCTTAGTTCCTTTTCCCTCTGCTGTTAGTTGAGGTGTCTGTCTTCCCGTGGCTGTGCCTGGGATGGAGTTGGGGCTGATGTGGGTGATGCTATCCTCTTTCAGTGTATCCTTTCTTACTCTAGCACCTCAGATTAAAGCTCTGCTCTCCTGTTGGACTTCCTTGACTCTAGTCAAAGCTTAGTTCATGCATAGCTGTTGCAATCACAGTCTCTGGGAAGAAAATGTCAGGAGGATGTCAATCAGTACCCACACTGCTGTTCGCTGAAAGAGTGCTTACCTTACTTTGCTGAATTCTTCTAGAACCGAGGCTGGCATTTGATAAGCATTCAGGAAATGACAGTTAATTTTTGTAACAGTTAGATGCTTTCATCACCAGTGAGTGCTGTAAGTATGGAGCTGAGCTGATCCCAGCTTAGTAATCAGCTGAACACTTCCCAAAACATGTGCTTCTTCCCAGTGTCAGTCACTGGCACACTGGAGGGAATTGTGCAAATGAATCCCACCTACTGTTTTTAAGCTCCTTGATAGCAAGAATGAATGGAGTCAAGCCCAGTTGGAAACAGATAGAAATTCCCACACCCAGCTCCCCAGGGTCAAAGAGATGAAGGTGTTCCCAAGCACAGAACTCCAACTAGCAATCATGCTGAGCAAACTGTCAGTGATCCCAGATGGCCTGAGATGCCCTGGGAAGAAATACCTGGGAATCTAGAAGGCATTCACACTGACCCAGGGTCCTAGGTGGGCACCAAGTGAGGGCAGATACGTGCCATGCAGGGGGACATTCACACGGCACTTCCCACAGTGCATATGCCACAGCCCAAGGGTTCTGGACTTCCTCCTTGGTGGGAAACCAGCAGAAAGAATGTGTACTCACACGAGCTGCCCAGCCCTCCACAGACAGGACACAGGACACTTAGTGGAACAGAATCCCTGAGCCTGGGATCATTTGCTCCTCTCTTGCAAGACTTCCTTGGCCATTTCCCTCCCCTCTTGGTAGCTCCAGTATGAGCTAAACTTCAGATGCACATGTGTGAAGAAAGTCCTTTGTGTGTGTTATGACGATGTCTCCTGAGGTCCACACACATGCCAACATATTCAGCCTGTAAACAAGTTTTTGGAAAGAGTCTTGAGCAAACCTGACCTTATGGAGACCAACCGGTAAGACAGCATTTGCTAGCATTGCCTTGAATGCCTCTGTGTCCCTTCTGCAGAGAAGCTGAAGCTCCTTACCTCATGGCTGCTGTGAGAAGGTGCAGGGGTTCTGCAGGGATCCCAGGGCTGGATGGCGACCTCAGAGATCTGACCCGTGTGCGCTGTGGATGTCTGTCGGAGCTGAGCAGGCCTATAAATGGAGAGAGAAGCCGAAGGGCAGCAAATATTTTAAGGCGTGGCTGTGCTCTTGCTGTGGTACCTTGGACCTAAATGTCGGAAATGAAACTACAGCAGGTAGTTTTCCTGATTCTGGAAAATGAAACTTATCTTGAAACGGCTTTTCCTGTTTTCTTGTGAAAACTCGAGAGTGTGAGTCAGCTGTACTGATGTACCATTGCTTCTGTCCCGTCCTTGCAGAGGATGGGAGCTGGCAGATGTAGGTTTGGGCAGAGGTCATGAAGTCTGGGGCCTGGCAGAGTTGAGAAAGGGTTCCCTGTCTGTGTTTCCTTTGGCTTACTGGATTTAAGATGTTTATGTCTTACCAAACAAGATGGCATGAATGTCTACATGGAAGTCTCCACACACATTTGTAAGCGCTTTGAGAGGTCATGTAATAGTGATTATACTAGGACTTTGCATATCTTGCAATGAGTGATTTCTCTTGTTGTTAGTTGTCGGAACAGAGTAAATGTGTATAGTTGCAGTTTAGTCAAAACATGTTAGGCCTGGCAGTTTAGTGATGGCATAGTAGGCTAAGCTTCTGCCTGTGGGGGATGGTATTCCATCTGGGTGTCCATTTGTGTCATGGCTACATTACATCTGATCCAGCTCCCTTCTTGTGGCCTGGGAAGGCAGTGAAGGATGGTCCAAGTCCTTGGGACCTTGCACCCATGTGGAACACCCGGAAGAAGCTCCTGGCTCCTGGCTTCAATTCTGCTCAGCTCCAACCATTTTGGTCATTTTGGGAGTGAATTAGCAGATGGAAGTTCTTCCTGTCTCTCTTATCTTCTTCCTCTAATTCTACCATTCAAATAGAAATAAAAACAAAATAATTCTTCAACATGTTAGGCCTTAATGACAGTTTCCTTTTTGTTCTCAGTGAAGAGCGCACTTTGTTGCTGTGTAAGTAGACCAGACTCCTCAGAAATGACTCTCATGGCTGTGCCCGATGACACAGCTGTGCCCTGGCACCTGGCTTGGCTCACCCCAACCTGTGCCATGTAGTCTTCTGTGTTGGTGAGAGGTTGGGGAGAAGAAGCCTATGAGAGATTGTGAGCATAGGTGGGGGCCTGGCTCTTTTCAAAATGAAACATGTTTTTTTGTTTCAAAATTTTAATTGGATTTTACTAGATGTGTAGTTGGTAGGTGCAATTCCAAATTATATTATTTATTTATTCATTTCTGTCTGTGTCCCTCTAACTCCCACAGACTCACTTTCCTTGATTTGTTAGTTTTTGACTTACTTAACTCCTTTCTTTCTTTCTCTTTCCTTTTCCTTCTTTCTCTCTTTTCTTTTCTCTTCTCTTCTTTTCTCTCTCTCCTTCCTTTTTTCCCTTTCTTTTCTCTCTCTCCTTCCTTCTTTCTTTCCTTTCTTCCTTCCTTCCTTCCTTTTCTTTACTTCCTGACTTTTATTTTAAAAATATTTTATGATACAGTTCCATCATCTCCAGGATTTCCCGTCCTCTCTACTGCCACTGATTTCCCCTATGATATTACAATAGCACATTCCTTCATCATCAGTCCTAAGTCCATCCTTCTGTGTACCTTGTAGGTACACACAATCGCAGAGAGTCCAACATCCTATTATCAAGATATGCTTCATCGTTTCATTAGGAGACCTTCTTTGATCTGGAAATAGAGATGTGTACCGCATTGTATCTTCACATCTGGATATGATAGTTATTATTGCACAGTCTCTATACAGCCCCTGAAATGAAAAGCCTTACCACAAAATCAACTACAGGAAGAAAAATAAATAATTTACAGTAACATGAAGTTAAATAACATGCTACTGAATGACCAGCCTGTCGCTGGAGCAATGAAAGAAATAAAAAAACCTTCTTTTATAAAATGATCCTACTGTATGACCTATGTGTCACTGAAGAAATTAATAAGAAAAAAAAACCTTTTGGAAGAAAGAAAATGAAAGCAAAAATATGAAAATCCATGTGATGTAGCAAGTACAATATTGAAAGTGACATTTATAACATCAGGTGCTTATAAACAATTACAATATCTGAAATAAATGATCTAATCATGCATCTGCAGGACATATTAAAAAAAGTAAAAAGAAAAGGAAACAGGAAATGATAAAAAAATACACAGGGAGAATAAAATGAGTTAAAACTAAAAAACTACAAATTGCAACCTGAAGAATTCATTTTTTAAAAAAAATTATTTATTTCTTATTGGAAAGTCAAGTTACACAGAGAAGGAAAGAGAGAAGCATCTTCCATCTACTGGTTTTTTCCCTAAGTGGCCAAAACATGCCAGAGCTGAGCCTAACTGAAACCAGGAACCAGGAGCTGCTTCCGGGTTTCCCATGCAGATTCAGGGTCCCAATGCTGTGGGCTGTCTCCAGCTTTCCCAGGCTACAAGCAGGGAGCTGGAAAGGTTGTGGAGCCACATGGATACAAACTGGCACCCTTATGGAATCTCATTCATACACCCCAAGGACTGTTGCCATTTGGCCTCCATGCTGGGCCCAAGGAAGAGCCATTTTTAAGAAGATGAGCAAAACAAACTTTTAGCCAGACTAGCAAAGAAAAGCAAGAGAAAAATCAAGTAAAATTATAGATGAAAAACAAAATATCCTAGGAAACTCTCAAGGTGATCTTTTCTTTCTGAATGGATTTATTGATTGCTCTTTGCTGTCAGCTTTCGTTGCTTTTAGTGTTTTTTGCTTCAACGTTTATATTACTGATAAAAAAAATGGCTTCTCCAGCTTATCTTTCTTTTCCATTTATCTGGAATATCTTTTCTTTCTTTCACTTTCAGCTTCCATGTATCTTCGTTGGTGAGATGTTCTCTTGCAGGCAACGGATAGATGGGTTTTGTGTTTATATCCCACCCGCTACCCTATGACACTTGATTGATGAGTTTAAACCATTTACATTCAGGGTTAGTATCAAGAGGTAGTAATTTTTTCCTGTCCTTTTAGCAATGGATTGTTTCTTATTTGATTTAGTCTTCTTTTGTTGCTTTATTGGGATGGTCTTCAGGTTTGCCCTTGGTTTTGGTAGGTGGTCTACCTTTCCTCTGTTGATAGAACATCTTAATCATTTGTGGGGCAGGTCTGGAAGAGGTAAATTTGTGGAGCTTTTGTTTACTCTGGATAGTTTTCTTTCCTTTTCAAAGAAAAAGAAAGACTTGCTGGGTAAGTTATTCTGGGCTGACATTTTTTTTTTCTCTTAGAATCTGGAAAATGTGACTCCATTCTCTTCTGGCCTGTAGAGTTTCCTCTAAGAGGTCAGAAGTAAATCTGATTAGGGTCATTCTATGTGTTAACTGATTTTTTCATGCACATATTTATGTATCTTTTCCCTGTGTTTAATGTAGAGCACCTTATTATCATGTGTTGTGGCCAAGATCTATTTCGCCAGCCCTATTGGAAGTTCTGGCCTCTTCCTGTACTTTGTTTTCCAATTCTTTCTCCAAATTAGGGAAGTTTTCCTTTGTTATTTCATTGAGTACCATTTTCTTTAAGGATAGGGCACACCCACTGATTGGAGTGGAGTTTTTTTTGTTGTTTTTGTATTTTAGAAAGTCAGATATACAGAGAGGAGGAGATACAGAGAGGAAGGTCTTCCATCCGCTGGATCACTCCCCAAGTGGCCACAATGGCTGGAGCTGAGCCAATCTGAAGCCAGGAGCTAGCAGCTTCTTCTGGGTCTCCCATGCGGGTGCAGGATCCCAAGGCTTTGGGCCCACCTTGACTGCTTTCCCAGGCCACAGGCAGGGAGCTGAATGAAAAGTAGGGCCACAGGAGTAGAACCAGTGTCCACATGGTATCCTGGCACGTTCAAGGCGAGGACTTCAACAGCTATACTACTGTGCTGGGCCCTCATCTAATAAATTTTAAATCCCAGCTTCCTTTTCTATGCCTTCTGGAACTCCTATAACTGTTATGTTCGTCCTTTTCAGTTGCACTTCCAGCTTTTTGAATTTCCACCCATCATTGAACTAAATGTATTTCAATTCTGAGATTCTTTCTTCTGCCTCCCTCATTCTATTACTGAGACTTCTCACGGAATTATTAATTTGCTCCATTGTGTTTTTCCTTTCTAATATTTTGCCTTAGTTTGGTTTCAGTGTTTTCATTTCCTGTGCGACATATTCCTATAGCAAGTGTTTTTTTCCCAATTCCTTATCTCCCATTTCCTTGATGTCTTCCTCAGTTAACTCTGAAGTTGGCAATAGTCTTTGCTCATTTGTGCGAGAAGCATCAGTACTATTCATTGCTCTCTGTCTCTTCTTTTGGTCTTGGTCATTATACTTCTGGTTAGGAGAGTCTTCTCCTTGGGGCAGGTTTCTAAGCTGTGTCACCCACAGGTCTGCAGTTTGATTTTCCGTATTGCAGTTGCTACATGGTTCTTGATTTGCAGTCACTTGTCCCACTCTCTCCAGCTAGTACCAGTTCTGGTTTCTTATGTTAGACTTGCACCATGGTCTGCGTAACCCCAGGACCTGGCTCACCACTCTGCACCTGCTATGATACCATACTGAGTCTGTACCTTTCTCCCATTTCTGGTTCAGGCAGTTCCCAAGATTAGAGAGACACCAGATGTCCTATACAGCTAGGTTTTTGATGGTGCTGATCTTGCTGGAACCTGTTGGCAGTTAGGTCTAGGGACCACAGAAGCCTATTTTTATCCATATGCTGCCATAGTCGGTATTATTTTCCCTGTGGGACCAATTCAATGCACTGAGCTCAGAGAGTTCACTCCCAGCTGAGCGCATGCTCAGCTCACTTGTCCCTGCATTCTTTCAGTCCTGGTTTCTTATACTAGGCTTCCACTGTGGTCTCCATAGCCACAGCTCCTGACTCACCACTTTCCATACTCTGTGATCCTGTGCTGTGGCCACACCATTTCTGCAC